TGGGCTGGACCATGAGGATTCCTAAGAACAATCAGAAAAACTGTTTGATTCAATAATTTGACCTCAGATATATTCTGAAAAGTAAAGAGGAACCTCCATCCTTTATCATTAGCATTTCTCTATGAAGGAATATTGAAGCACGCCAACAATGTAAAGATGCATGGAATGTAATTATGATGAACAATCTTTCCTACTCACATTATTTTAGACAGTACACAAATAAACAAGGAAAACCTATTAAAGCTTCAAATTAAGTATAGAAGAGAAAAACTGGCAGCAAAAAAAAAAAAAAAAAAAGCTTTTTATTCAAACCATGCAAGTGTTTGAAATGCATCTAGGGAAAATACTAATAATCAGTATGTAAAAATATCACATGAATACTGTATACAAAATCAATTAGCAAAATCTATTTACTTAGAAATGCAAATGCAAAGCTGTCCTAAGATAAAGGAGGAATGTTTGAAAACTTTTAATTAAAAGATATCTAGAAATTATTCTGAGAATCACTATTTGAAAGAAAGTGATAGATTGCAAATACAAATGACAAATAATAAGACATTAACTTATTTTTATGGAGAGTCATAATTATGACAAAATAATAAGTTAGAAAAAGAGTTATTTATATTTATATTTACCCAGGAAAACTTGGAAAAAGGTGAGGACTGTGGACAATTTCTTTGTTAATGTTCATCACCCTACTCTTTCCTGTGATTCAATGAAACCTTCCCTAAGCCATTTCCTTATTCAGAATTCTTCCATCATTACAGTGCTTTCTCTTCATGTAGCATTACCTGATTTCTTGCCAAGGACACTGCTTCTTCTTCTTGAAGAATCCTTTATCATCCTGACCTGCTTATCTTATACTCTATCATCTGCACTTAATTCCCTATTCTCATTTCTGTTTCTTTTCAAAATGTCTAAACAATTGTGTATACATGTATTTATATGCATATCAGCAACAGTAGCTTTTCTTCTCTTCCACCTCCCTTGCTTTTGCAAAAAATGTTTTCTTCCTTCCCATACAACAATAAAGATTTTGTAATTACTTTTCAGCCAAGATCAACCGTTGACACAAGAAAGTTAAGTACGTACCTGGATAGATGTGCTGCCAAGGATAGCGAAATGTTTAAAGTAGTACCCAGTTTACTGCAGAGCACAGGAATGCTCATTTTTTCCCTAAAATAATCTGAAGAAAAGATTAGGGACTGCAAATAATGGCCACTGCTGTTACAGGAGACCTCTCCATTTTTGCAACATCCTCAGTAAGAATGACAAGCCTAGAAATTCCCCCTTGTTTGGCTTTGTATTTCCAATGTACATTTTGCATCCCAACGCAAATGCAGAGGGTCTGGGAACCAACACATCTTGAAAATAAACGCTTCACTTTGTGCAGACTTGACCAAAACATATGAGATACTGGCATTTGAATAACCTGCTTTTATTCACATTGATACAAAAAAACCCAAAAAACAACATTCACATAATTTAGGCAGATTTGAACTTCTCACAGTAGGATTGCTGCTTTCGCCTTTGGCACTCAAAGAAAGCTGGAAAATACTTGACGTTTGTAAGGCACCCACATGCATAATAATGAAAAGTAAGACAATGTTCTACTTGATTGATCTTTTTGACCTGTCATTTTCCACGGTAAACACTTCTCTTTATAATCTTTTCATATTTTTCCAACATTGCTCCAACATTTTAATTCAGTCAGTAGTTTCAATTTTTTATCCTATTATGTATAATGCCGCTAGAGTTCAGTGGGTGTTTCTTCAAACTCAAGGTTCTGCAGAATGACATCTTTCATTACTGGCAGTTTATGCCAACACATCTTTTCAGTTTTAGTAATACTTCTTAAACCAGAACGACCTAAATCAAGGATTTTTGTGAAGACAATGAGTGTTAGGATTGTTAAAAGATATTTTAAAAATTGCTAAAATATGGCAATTTTTGAGTTACAGAGTACTCAAAAATCAAGGTAAATATTGCTATTGATATGACCCATCACTCAATCAAATTTTATAGTTAATTCAATTTTGGGGTTTTGATTGCATAAAACTCCAAAAACATGTCAAACAAACCTGCATAAATGTTGAACTGAGTTTATTCTGACTGCTAGAAGTGAACAAGTACCTTCCAACAGTTGCCTAAGTGTCCTCCAAAATTTTTTAAGAATAAAATGTTGAAAACTCAAAAATCAGTCTAACCTCAACTAGTCTTCAAAGACTGCAAGGTAGTTTAGTATTTAGTGACTTCTGACACAGAAATAATTATTTTCAGTTACTTTCAGTATTTAATTCCTGAGCATTGAGTAACCACAGAATTTTATACCTGCAAGTCTGAGTGCCCAAGAACATAAATGATACTCATACAAATTTAGCAGTGATCAATCTTCATAATATTTGCACTGTCTTGTTTTGAAAATTACCAAAGGTTACTTAAACATGATGTATTTTATTCCCAGATACACAGATATATACACCTCATAATTCCTCTCTTGAAGGTGTGGTTCACAGATTTGTTACCAAGATAGTAAACAAGTTCGTCTAAGATCTCTAATCACAGGACTAATCACAGATTATTAATTAAGATGATTAGATTATTGTGGTTTTTTAAGGGTGAAAATAAATCTAATTTTCCCTATTAACCAATAGATAAAACCAGGTGAAGGCTGACTCATCTGACCTATCCTAAACAATATTTTTTTGGCATGACATGAGCTATCTCCTGGAAATGCTTTTTACTCTCCTCTGAGTAAACACATAGCTGATCAATAAAGATGTTATGTCCTGCCTTTTGGACATATAATATTGAAACTTTTGAATCTGAGCAGATAAAATCTCTTTTGTGTTCCAGATGCAAGTTCCAAAGCTTATGTCAAGCAATACTTCCCATAATGCAGTTATCCCATTCATGAGGAAGGCTATTGAGCTACCTACTTGGAAGCCCCACAGCAGTGATCCTGTGTTTACAACCTTTATTTTCCTCAGGGAGTTTTTTGTTTTGACAGTCACAGAGAAAGACTTTAAAATATGACCCTATTACATACAAATACTTGTAACAGGGAATTGAGAATTAAAATTATGATTTTTTTCTTTAACATGGTATTTTTTTAAGTCAGTCTCTGATACTGGGGACTCCACTAATCATCCCTTTAATGCAAACAAAACTCTTAAGACTTGTTTATAAGCCATGAAGAAACATAAAACAAGACAAATTCCTTTTTTTCCCTGGATAAAATCCTTAAAATGTAGCTATGGGAAGCTTTTCTTTCTGAAGTATTTCAGAACTGAAACAATTTATCTCCACCGCTATCAAGTCTCATGGCTTCACGACTTTAAAGAAAAAAAAAGCAGTAAATGCTGGGCTTTTACCTTAGGTGATACGATATATCACCTGGAGTAGTACTTGAAGTTATCCTCAAAGCAAAACTACCTTACTTTATCCTCACTGTATTTCTACCTTTGGAAGACAAGTACATTTAGTTGGGCTAAGATAAAACAGATAAAAAATAAACAGCTTTTAGAGCACCAAAATCCCATTGTCACAGAGGAGCCTGATCTGGTTTAACTTTGCGGCAGAAAAATGGTGATGACCATGTCAGAAGCATCCACCCTGTGGATATGAATCAAACCTTTTTATTTAGGAAGCCACACTGTGAAACTAGGTCATTTTCCTCTAATGTGTTAGACTCTATGAAAACTTAATTTTCCAAAATTCTTATAGTTTAAATATCCAAAATAGGGCTGCTAATAGTAATTTGGTTTTTTTACTATCCTTCTAAATTTAATCTTCCATTTGTAATGTATCCAGAAAGAAAATTTAGGAGCCAGTTTCTGAAATTATATTTTCTTGCTTGAAGGATGGAGTTACAATATCTCAACACACTCAGCTCAAGAATCAACAAACTGAGATCTAAAGCACAGTCTTACATAATGGATCCAAATTTTTTAGGAGAGTGATAAACCCTATAAAGCGATTCCTACCAGGTTGTTAGGTTGCAATAGGAGAAACACATCCTTTCTAGTAAGGCATACTATTTCCATAAAATTATATTTACTCATGCATGTGCAGGTAAATTACATCAAAGTAAAATTTGTTATGGGGATCTTGGTGAATTCTGTGGCCTAGTAATATGCAAAAATAAAGTACATCAGCTTTTAAGAAGCTTTTTGATAAAATTTTCTGCAAACATCAACCATGAAATCACACTGTTGCAGTTGGTTATAAATTAATAATATTGCAAGAAACACCAAACACACAGAGGGAATAGTAAAGATTTAGCCAAAAATGTCATTGCAAACTGTGCATGACTAAACCCCCACTAAATAAGGCAAGTCACATCCCCCGAAACAGAAACTCTAACCTAATTAAGCAAGTATAAAACTGTCTGAAGTGATGGAAAACCACTTTGTACTTCACCTAATAACACAACTGGAATCTATTTTGAAGGAAAATTGAGGCAAAAGCTCCTGTACAAATCAGGGAGATTGCAAACAAACAAAGCATTAAAGTAAAATTGCCCAAAAGAAGACAACAATAAGAATCTGTAATACCCTGAACAGAACACAAGAAGGTACTTAAAGATGCATTCAGAACTAATGGTGGCATTAACTCGATAAAAGCATATGCATCCAAAGACTCCCTGAAGCAATCTATACCCAGTGACTATGGCATCAGAGTAGCTGCATTTGAAAAATTAACACTCCATTACCATGGGATAACAACAATGTTCAAAGGCTTTATAAAAGCAAAAGACAAAACTTGGCAGTTGAACTGCAATGAGAACCCAAATGACAGAAGTTGAGAGGGAGAAAGAGAAGTAAGAACACATTGAAATAGCTTTTCCTTGGCATTGATTGTTGTAAGAATAGCTAGGGAAGAAAGTGTCTACTCAGTCATTCTGGGAAGGTTTTGATGTTGATGTACTTTGTTTTCAAGATGTGAACATCATGATAGATAGAACTCTTTAACCACTCATCTCTATTATTGTTTGCAAGTGATTCAGGAACCTTCATGTGTTTGCAGCAGTAAGTGTGTTGAAGATAAGAAATGTTTATCTTGGTGAAAAGGAGGCTCAGAAGTGACCTTACGACTGTCTACAACTATCTGAAAGGAGGTGATGTCCAGGTAAGGGTTGGTCTCTTCTCCCAGGTAACCAGGCATAGGAAAAGACATAGTCTTAAGATGCACCAGAGAAAGTTGAGGTTGGATATTAGAAAACATTTCTTCACAGAAAAGGTGATTATATATTGGAATGGATTCCCTGGGGAGGTGGTGAAGTCATGTCCCTGGAGGTGCTTAAAGAAAGACTGGACATAGCACTTGAACCTAATTGATTCTGTGATTCTGTATTGTAATAAAATGTAGTGGATGCTGTCTTTTTTGACACCTAACATACACAGAAATAATTAATATTAGTTTTATTTCTGAGATAATGTCTTCCTTCTTGAGAATACATCTCACATGCTCTGACTACAGATCACTGTGTACTACTTCCAGTTCAGTAACTGAGGACAAGACAAGGCTAACTAGCAGATTACTAATAAGATATTGCTAAAGGTCATTTTTCCAAACCTTTTGTCCAGACTGAGAAGTGTGTCAGGCATTTGAGTGATTAATATTTAGAGTTCCTGTCTGTCCCAATAGGTTTTGCTAGAGTTTCTTCTCTAAATGTCAGCAAGTCCTAGCCTTATTTGTATTAAAAAAGCACTGCTGAGTGTGTAACAACATGCCACATATTAGTGTTATGGTCTTGGTATACAGCTTGAGTTAGAAATAAATAACCTTCAGAAGAAGATGGAAAACAGTAAGGTTCTGATTTTAGCTCCTCATAAAGCTCAAGAGTGAGGGTACTTGATTGGAATTTTAGTTTTATTATATTAATTGCCCTCTTCCCTGAACAATGAAAGAATTATTTGAGCACAAGTATTACAAGACAGATATCCACATGAAAATCAGTTTTTTGGTAAAGATTCTCACTATGTCAAAATCACATTTTAAAAGATGCCTGTTTTCTTCTTTCTTACTACATGCAGTTTCATATATACTCTAACAGTTTTAGGGCTTGAAAGGCCATAAATGTTTCTCATATAGGTCTATTCTTCTAAAAACATCTTTTATTTGAGTGCCTGTTACTGCTGCCATATGAACAGGATCAGGAGTACATTTTAGCTTTTAAACAAAAGTCCATTGAGTTAGAGAAATACCATGACTTCCTAGATAAGTATCAAATTTCAGTTTTGATTATTTTGTGGAATCTTTCCTTATAGTTCTGTTTTTTCTTATAACGTCAGGATTCATCTTGTTCATTTTCTAACATCTCCAGTAAGGAACCCCAATGTTCTTTCACATCACCGGAGGACTGAAAGACAAGGTACCCAGTAAATCCTTCATCTGTTTTTGATACCTCCAGAGAGGATGTTATCATTAGATAAATCCTTGGCAGAATCATGCCTTTTGATTTAGCCTGATAAGGAAACCTAAGGACAAACAAAAGTTATAAGTATAGCATCATAAGATTAAATTTCTTTAAAAAATTTCCTTCCTTCAGTAAACAATAAAATAACTTACCAGATTTGTTCTGGTACAGGTTATCCAGATGATGTAGTTTCAGAAAACCATCACACTATAGGGGATTTTGTGTCCCCTGGGAAAAAAGCTATCCCTCAGGACTGCATATTCACAAAAAGTGATGCTGAGACCACAGGAGACAAATAAAAGCCAATGAATACAAAATAAACCAAAACTGAATCTAAAGTGGTAACAGAATGTTGTTTTGAGGTTATTAAACTGAAATTGCACTGGTTATAGTCAGGCAAATACTGACTGGGGTCTCTAGAAGCATCCTCCACATGCAGACAGCAGCCTTGGAGAAGCATTCTTTCTGTGGTCATACAGAAGGGGTACTGAGGGCTCAATATTTTAATGGATGTGCTGGAATAGTATTTGAATAAATTTTGTCACTTTTAACTAGGGATAGTTGATATTTCTGTAATGTGTCTTTCCAACTAGTAAAGACTGTTGACTAAGTGCTTTGATTAGGATTTCATCAGGCTAGCTGTGGCTATTTTCTACACACGTGTAATGTTCTTTTGATATATATTTATCTGTTTTCTCAGGTCTTACGTTTATCTCTTCCAAGTACCCATGGGTTTCTAGTGCTACAAAGATATTTTGTTAAAAGATTTCTGGCTATATATGTTAAAATGCTAGGTTTATTTTATTCAAGTCTGGAGGACAATTTTTAACATGAATTATAATCTTCAAGGTGTTAGCACTAAATGGTGCTTTCAACAGAAAAAAAAATATAATTTGCTTTTAGTTATTTCACTCAGGAAGAGCAAAGCTTCTGGAGTTAATTTTTTTTTCCTCATAAAAGCAAAGCAGATCTCTGTGACTGGTAGATAGGGGGAAGGGAGTGGGAAATTAGACATTAACAAGACAATCTCAATTGCAGTTCAATGAGGGCACCTTCTGAAAAACTTCTCAGTTAAAATTAAAGTTCCTAGGGAAATTAATACAGAGAAAACATAAGTGTTCAGTGTTGTTTCAACTTGAAGTACAGCATGCGCTTTAAATTATGTGCCTACCTCAGTCTTAATACGATTATCCAAGTGAGAAAAAGTGTATATATAAAAAAAAAAATGAAAACAAAAATTCTGATTACTTACAGTCATTTTTCCCATTTTTCCTGTTTTCTCTCTGTTTTTAAGTGTGAAACTCATTATTTGAAATGGATAAAAGGGTGACTCATAACCCTTGCTTTGTGTGACTAGATATAGTAAAGATATAAGTAAAGATCTGGGATTACTTTTCTTTGTTCCACTTCAGAATAGCTACACTTAGAGTTGGAAGCTTCTCTACTAATTTCTCTAAATGCTGATTTAACTTCCAGAAAAAGACCTTAGCTGGTTTCCCAATTTTATTTTTATTTCCAAAGATCAGGCTGGCACATTTTAAGATAGCAAGTGATAAGGTAAGGGGACACAATATGGAAAGCAAGTTAAATCTTTATTATATATGGGCCTTTATCTGATTCAACAAAAATGCTGGTGATAATAATGTCTCCTTTATGGAAGATAATGATTTAAAGAAAATTTCTTATTATGAAAAGGAATGTAGTGTGGAGCATAATGTGAAACCATTCATGGAGTGAAAGCCCTGGCCTCATTCTGTTGAGGGAAAAAGAAAGCCTAAGACGTTAAGAACTCTGCAAATACTTTCTAAGAATCAAATTCTGTATTAATTGTGTGGGAAAGAAAGAATATCAAACAGTAATACTGCTGAGCACATTGTGCGAATTTTTCCTCTTTAGGCCAAAAACAGTGAGTTAGTGGCTAGCCAAAAATTTTTGCAGATTGTTTTTATTAGAAGCTGGAATTCATTACAGTAAGGTCAGGTGACCTTGCTAAGTAAAGTTACTACTGCTTTAACCAGGAGTCATGGATTTCTTTTAGCTAATTACAGTGCAGGAGTACTAGTATTTACTCATCCAAGATGATGGATCTTCAGCAAGGTGACAGGTTGAGCTGATTTTGTTGTAGACAACACAGAATATGCACTGCTAACAATGAATTCAGCCAGTTCCATTTCAATAATGCAAACACTAATTATCAGGCTCTCAGAAGAGCTAAGTTGTATTTTACTCATGACCTTGTTCCTGTTTATAGACTCAGTGGCCTGGAGGCAGAAGCTGTGAGAGGAGGAAATCTGCGTGAAAGGTGGACGGAATGATAAAACAAACAAGAAGCACAACCTCCCCTGAGCTAGATGAATCTATTAACATTTGTTTCATTTCCATATGTCTTCTTAAAAAGTTTATTACAATTTCCCATAACAGCAGTCTGCAATACTTGACATTTCAGTTGTGAGGCTCAGCTCTTGGCATTGAATTATTGCAACCTACATCTACCCTGGTCAAGCCCTCTTCCTCTCTCTGTGACTATCCATATTTTTCAGCAGTTGGCTTACTTTGGATGCTGTCCAATCTTTTCTACCAGAAGACTTTTCACCACAGGGACACTTCCAAGTGTCTACATCTGCTGGAGTCCTAATATCTGTCTTTAGCTTTTTTCTTGAGAATCAATTCTTCAGAATACTTCAAACTTTCTGAAAAAATGGAATGCTGTCTTGAGGCAGGCAGAGAAAGAAATAATAGGAGAAGTTTCATTGGCTTGGTCTCTAGAGTTGGGATTCTGGGCAAAGGAAAAGGTCAACAACTACTTACTGTCAGGTCCACTAATTCTTCATCCTTGTATAATGGAGCTGAGTATGGGGAAATTAAAATCTGGCAGTTTAACACTACAGAGGTGAGTAAACTCCAAAGTGAAAACGGCAACGTGTTCTGTCTTCTAAGAGCTTTGTGCAAGCAAACCATTAATTTACTTCTCAACCCAGCAACAGGGCAACTTTGAACTGGTTCTTACTAATTCATGGCTGTAGATTGTAGGTAATTTGTTGAGCACTTCCTTTCCTTAATTTATTTATTTAATTAATTCTGATGTATGAGGATGTCCAGTTTTGGCCAACTCACTTCAAGAAAGACACTGAGGCATTAAAATCGGTCCAGAGTAGTGAAGCTGTTGAAGTGTCCAAAGAATAAATCTTTTGAAGAGCAGCTGAGGGAGCTGAGAGTGTTTGGCCTGCTGAAGAGGTGCCTCATGGGTGACCTTTTAACTCTACTACTGCCTCAAAGGAGGTTGTAGCAAGGTGGGGGGCAGCCTTTTCTCCTACGCAATTAGTGAGAGGACAATAAGAGAAAATGGCCTCAAGCTGCACCAGGTGAGATTCAGGCTGGACATCAAGAGAATTTCTTTCATAGAAGGATTGTTGAACATTGCAATAGAATGCCCAGAGAGGTGCTAAAGACACCATCCCTGAAGGTGTTTATGAAATGACTGGATGTAGCACTTAGTTCTACAGTCTGGTTGAAAAGGTGGTGATCAGTTAGAGGCTGGGCTCATGACCTCAGAGATTTTTTCCTACCTAAATGATTCTGTGATTCTGCAAAATATTGCAACACCTAATCTGGATCCATTTTTCAATTCTTAAGTGAGGTAAACTTCTCTGGAAAACCCTTGCAAGCTCTAACTTTTTATAACATTGTAGAATGTAGATGCAATTTTTTA